TTAATTATTATAATTAATATTTAAATAAAAATCTTCTCAATATATTTAAAAAAGAAAATTCTATTGCATATACGTTAACTTGATTGGTCACTTGTAATCTGATTCGACTAATCAGAATTATTCGTATTCAACGATGATTGGATAATTTTAGAGCGCTCATGTAGGTGATTTTTGGAAATGCACAACTGCAATACGCTACTATTAAGTAAAGATCTATCTCTAAAACGAAGATTCTTGTTGAGTTTATGGTCGGCATATAATAATTACTATTTTATAACACGTGAGATTGTCATTGTTCGAATTTTTTATTAAAAAAATGGCTTTACACGTACCAAAAGCACCGGGCGTTGCCCAAATGTTAAAAGATGGTGCTCGTGTAAGTATATATTCATTGATTTATCACGATTCCATGTTGTATTGCAAATTGCTATATTCCAAAATGCAAGAAAAGTAGCATCGATACCGTCATCGACAGCATTACCTTTTATAGACATTTCTGGCACTTTTTATACATATGATTATAAAATATTATAATATTCTCTCTCTCTCATAACTATGTGTGTGTTATATAGTTGCTCTTTAATACGCTTGCAATATTTCATTTTGAAATTATTTCATAATTTATTAACAATTTATAGAATAAAATAAACATGAACTTTTACTTACAATTAATAATTGTAAAATTCTGTATATTTTACAGTCATTAATTGTGTACAAAACATTTAACATTGAGTACAATAATCAATATTACAAAATAAAGCCTATCTTTGTCATCAAGAAAATATTACAAATTTTCTCTTTTGATAGTACTTTTCTGGATTGGAAGAAGCAGTATATAGAAACATATCTGCTTGCAAACAGTTTGCACAATCAGTGAGAACTGCATATGGTCCAAATGGAATGAATAAAATGATTATTAATCATATTGAAAAATTATTTGTTACTAATGATGCTGCTACAATTATAAATGAATTAGAAGTAGAACATCCAGCAGCAAAATTGCTAGTTCTTGCATCGAAAATGCAAGAAGCAGAAGCTGGAGATGGTACAAACTTTGTTATCATATTTGCTGGAGCTTTACTTGAAGCTGCGGAAGAACTTCTTCGCTTGGTATTAAATTTTTTATTATGAAAATGAAATAATTATATTAATAATTTATTATGAAGTAAATAGTTGTAAGAAAGAAAGGTTTGTTTGTTTGCAGGGTATAACCACATCTGAAATAGTTGAAGGTTACGAAGGAGCATTAGAAAAGGCATTGGAGATTCTTCCTACTTTTGTTGTTCATGAAATAAAAGATCATCGAAATAAAGAAGAAATGAAAGCTGGAATCAAAACATCGATAATGAGCAAACAATATGGAAATGAAGAGCTTCTAGCATCTTTCGTTAGCGAAGCATGCGTATCTATTTTACCTGAGAAAACTACATTTAACGTAGATAATGTACGTGTCTGTAAAATACTTGGAGGCGGCTTAATATCCTCTCAAGTAGTAAATGGAATGATATTTAAACGTCAAGTAGAAGGCGATATAACAAAACAATTCAATGCTAAGATAGTTGTTTATACTTGTCCCGTTGATATCACTCAAACTGAAACTAAAGGAACGGTATTAATAAAGACGGCAGATGAGCTGATGCAATTTTCACGTGGAGAGGAATCTCTATTAGAAACACAAATAAAAGCAATAGCAGCTTCTGGAGCTACGGTTGTAGTATCGGGTGGAAAGTTTGGCGACATGGCTTTACATTATATGACAAAGTATAATTTAATGGCTGTACGGATACCAAGTAAATTTGACATTAGACGATTATCAAAGACTGTAGGAGCCACGGCTCTTTCAAAGTTAGTTGCACCGTCCAAAGAAGAATTGGGATACGCAGATTCTGTTTATGTTGATGAATTAGGAGACACTATAGTAGTGGTCTTTAGATTGGATGGAAATGATAGTCGTGTTAGCACTATACTTGTTAGAGGATCTACAGAAAATTATATGGATGATATTGAAAGAGCAATAGATGATGGTGTTAATACATTTAAAGGAATTACAAGGGATGGTAGATTTCTTCCTGGTGCTGGAGCTACAGAAATTGAGTTAGCTGCGCAGCTTGCTGCTTACGCCGACACTTTACCAGGATTAACGCAATACGCGGCACATAGATTTGCTACAGCTTTAGAAGTTTTTCCAAAAACTTTAGCAGAGAATAGTGGTAATCATGCGTCCGAATTACTCTCCAAATTGTATGCGGCGCATAAAGAGGGTAAAAAGACTTATGGATTTGATATCGAGGTTGGCAATATTTTTAATTATAAACATATATGTATTTATAAATGAACTTAATCGTTAGTAAAAATAAATATTTATTTTATAGGCTGAAGGAACTGCTCTTATAGAGACAGTTCAAGCAGGAATCTTAGATCTATTCCTTACCAAGCAATGGGCTCTTAAGTATGCAGTAGAAGTTGCTTGTACTGTACTTAAAGTTGATCAAATTATTATGGCTAAGCGTGCTGGAGGTCCAAAAGCACCAGCTGGTGGAGCCCGTGACGACGAAGAGTAATAATTGGTATCAAATTTGATTAATATTTTATGTTGTCAATTCACAGATGTATTTTAGGATAAATTTACGGTAAAGTAAAAAATTTACGAGCATAAAACCTAACTCTTTGGATCCGTTCTTTTTCTTTTTTTGCTTTGTTTAACATTTATTTTTCACATTTGTTTTAATATTTGTCTTTGTTGAAATATATAATGTATTTATATAAAATTTGTCCCTCTGTATTAGTAGTTATAATATTTCATAAAATAAAACTTATCTTAAAATTCATCTGTTAACTGATATCGATAACGGAAAAACAATACATCAATTGTATTCAAATAGTACTATCTTTAAAAAATGTTATGATTGTATGATATCATCAATCATCATGTCATTTTCACTTCAAGAATTTATTATGCATTCTTGAAAGTTCAGATTTTGCTCAAAAACATTAACGTTTATATCGTTTTATATCTTCATTCCGTATTTACATTCACTCTATTCTATTGATGTATGATTAAAATATTGAATAAAATTATATAAGCTAATATTCCACAATTAGATTTCTTTTTTATTTTTATGTATTAATTTTATAAAATTTATTTTTAATGCTATGTTTTGTAAGAATTTTATTCTTCGACAATGCAAATATGGAACTAGTATTTTTTTTCTATCAGTCATTATTGTTACCATGGAATGTATATAACATTTCATTTTGTAGAATTTTATAGACACTTTTACACGAGGTCTACAAACATTATATAGATTTCATTTGTTGCATAAGTTCTTCCAAGCTTAATTCTGATGTATTTGCTACTTCATTTTCAGAATTAGTTGGTTCTATGGTATAAGCTTGTTTTAAGCCAATATTAACTAACTCAACATTTTCTTCTTTTTCTTCTTCTTCATATTCCTCAACTAAGGAGATTCCTGTCAAACAATTATATTATTATATTATTGAATAATTGGCTACATTATAAATATTTTATTATGCATTTATATAATACATAGTCGATTATAAATTTTATTACATACCATATTCATTATCTTCGTGCAAAGTTTTTGTGTCAGTAATTTTTTCAACAGGCTTTTCAACTTTTGGTTTTGCTTGATATTCTTGTTGTCTTTGCCTGCAATAATTGTCAGCACAATTTGGATTTGGCTTTAACGTCATTGTTGGAAAAAAATCTTGCAATGCGTTGTAACCTAAATAGCATGTTACATCTCCAAAATTAAGTAAAAATTTCAAAGCATTCTGTACCAAAAAGCCTGCTACTATAGCCATAGTTGTGGGTAGGGATGCAGCGCATACACCATCTCTCTTCAAAGTTTTTTCATCAATATTTGATGCAACAACCAAAGGTGGTGCACACTAAAAATAAATGGATTAAAAAAAATAAATATTAGATGAATAAATGATTAATTGTCTAAAGTATCATACAGCAAAACAAGCTGTCTCTCCTGGTATAAGAAATTGAATATGCCCAGAGATTGCGTTTTCTGAAACACCACTTTCTAACCATATTTGATTAAGTTCGTTGCAAGCAGTATTTATTGCCAGACGTGCTTCAAAATTATCCACGCAACTTAAGACCAAATCCACGGGTCCATCTGTTAGACTTGATGTACTAGAATCCGTATTACAGAATGAAAGTTTAGGACTGCACAATGAATTATTGTAGTTTCATATATATAGTAATCAAAATTTTATATATATATATATATAGAAGTATACCTTATTGTAGCCATAAACTTTTTAAAGTTATCTATAGTTGTAATATTATAACAATGTGGTTCAATTTCTACATCAGGATTAATATCTTGTAAAGTTTTGGCAGCAGCTTGTACCTTACTATGTCCTGCTTGATACGGTTGAAAAAATAATCTATTCATATTTGCTAATTCCACTTTGTCATAATCAAAAATAATTAGCTAAAATGCATAATACTTTTTTTATACAAATATAACAGAAAGTAACATTACATATACTTCAAATAATTGTTCTTCTGACCTTTCCTATACCACATCTTGTTAACATTTCTGCAGCTACACTACCAACTCCTCCCACCCCAACGATAGCTACTGTTTTTTCTCGTATACTTTCATAATTATTAACAACACCCATACGTTTTAATGCCATTAGTCGACTATAAAAAATATAATAAAAAATCTATAAAAGATATAACATATAATAATAATACAAATATATTTGTTAATTGATCGTTTAAATACCTGTAAGGGTTAGAATCTACGACTTCACTAGACATATGTTCAGGTTTTTTACGATTAGTACTTTTAGAACTCCCAGGTAAATCCATCGAGAGTCCCCGTATTTCTATCACACTTGGATCTTCGAACTTAGTATGTAATCCTTCCATTATTTTTCTTATTTAAAAATGTATAATTAATTAAATTATCGAAATGTTGTAATAAGTTACAAATGTCAAAATTGAAAGGGTAAGTAGTAATTACACATGAGGCAGTGCGAGATAAAATGAATTAAAAATGACTTAATAGTAGCATCTAGCGATAGGAATAAGTAATACAAATCTCGACTTACTTTTGCGTCGATAAATTAGGAATTGAATAGACCAATAACCAGTAGATATATTTTTCAAACTAATTGTAAGCAAAAAATAAAGAAGTACATAAAAGCTCACAAGTCCCCTTTTTTATCTATGCAGTATCATTTTTCTTACCACTGAGACCACCTTAGGTCGGTACTTAACGCGATGACGGTAAGAATGCAGTATTCATTGATATTACATTTAATTTTCAGTATATAAACATGTGTGTGCCTTCAGAAATGCATTTATACGTATATTTTAATATTAAGTATATTAACACTTTGTTCTTTAGTAATTCCTACTGAAAATACTTCATTTTTTATATATGTATAGTAAATACAAAGTAGAATAAAGATAAAAGATAAAAGTGGTTGAGTAAAAAAGTAAGACCATAAGATGTATTACAAAGTTTCTGCTTTTGTTTGATATTATTTAATTTTTTAAATGCAAAGTGTTAATAATAGGTTCATCGATTAGATTAAATATCTGTTGAGGCATTCAACGCGTGTTAAAAAAGGAGAAAGCAAAAACCAAAAAGAACAGAAAAAAGAAACAATTATTTAATCATCAATTTAGTTTATTTCAATAATAGAGCACAAGAGTAAAACATACACTTAATGCGAGACACGTACACATATGTATTATTTAGTAAACTTCTTATTATATATACAGAGGTATGCTGTGTATATTTCCTGCGTTAAAACGGAGATAATAAATTGTTCACAATTTTATTTTTAATTACTTAGCTTTTTCAGACGCTACAAGAGATCCTTCGTGTTTTACAACGCGTTAGAATATTCAAGCTTTTTTTTTTTATCTGTATATTATGTAAATATATTTACGCAAATGTGTATGTGTGTTGTATGTATTTTGTCGTATAATAAAATAATAATAATAATTAATAATAATTAATAATAATAAAATACAATAAATTTATATATATAATATAAGAGTATAATTACAACACGATAATATTTCTAATATCTCATTTTAAAGATAATTTTCAATATTATCATTTATAGATGGTTGTTTCGTTTTTTAAACACTTATTATAACGTTTACCGATAATTTCATACTTTCTTTCTTTTACTCCGTTTTATACTTTCGTATTTGCGTAGAAACTCTTAAAACGACAAATTAATCGAACACACATAAACATTTTCTTTAATTTTCTATAATCGAAGGATTTACTCCAGTTATTTATATTTATATACGTATTATTAATAATAATTGAGATTAATTGCATAATTTAACTATATTATGATGGGTTGAAGAGGAGGATAGGGGGAAGGTGAGTCAGGAAGATGGGAATGATTTTTTTATTGTGGATTCTATTAAAAGTATTTTTATAGATAATCCGCTACGTTTGGCATTCGCCTGATATGCGCGTGATATTCTTGGCCGCAGACAATGCGATCACAATAGTTTTTCGCGATATGTAATAATAAGATATAATATAATATATATATATATATATATATATATA